CTTGTACTCCTCTGACATATATTCAAATTGTCCTATAAAACACAATTACAAAGTGTAAATAATAATAACACAATTTTGGAATTTGAATTTGTGGACAAAAATATACTTTTACCTTCACATCCTTCCAGATAGCATCAACAATATCATCAGGCACATTGTTCCAGTCAAGAAAAGTAAGAGGAACAATGTTGCCATTCTGCACAATGATGCCAAGTTGAGTAGTTAACTTAGCGACGTTATCCCCTATTGGGCAGTAATTTTCATCAAATTGTATGTCCAGCTTTTTACCAGTACCCCACTCTTTAATGCCCTTGGCACATCCTCTACCACGCCTAGTCGAGGTTGATGAAGAACTAACATGACCTGCGAGATACAAAAACAATAAACAATATGTAATGGTAATAAACAAATGCAAATTTAAATAATGTGAATACAAATCGAATTCTTATACCTGATGTAGGCTGTGAAGAAGTAGAAGGGTCTGCAAAATACATTGAGAATAAACAAGTTATATATAATGAGCATAAATAAATGTATGTTTAAATAATTTTCATACAAATCAAAGCAAATTTATATACCTGCGGATGGCTCATAAGCTGATGACTCTAGTCGGGATGATAGCTGCTGTGGTGCCACTGATGGTGGTTGATGTGGTGGTACTAATGGCCCCTCAGATGGTGGTGGCACTAATGGCCCCTCCGATGGTGGCCAATGTGATGCCTCCTCTGATGGTGGTGCTACTGATGTCCTGTTATGTAGCACATCAGACATCATGCGCCGGGGATGATCAGGCTTCCTTTTCCTTCCCATAATAATCTGCAAGCAATATAACATTAATTGACATTAGAAACATAGACAATGGTTTGTCATCAACTATAATATGACATTAATTGAACTAATACAATTACAAAGACAAAGTAAATTAAGAAATTGATGATTAACTACAACCTTGGCCTTAATTAAAGACAAAGTAAATTAAGAAATTGATGATTAACTACAACCTTGGCCTTAATTGAATTACTAATGTTGATTAAATATCAGCCTATTTAAACATTAACTGTTTCCCCTTTTGCGGCTTCCCTCACCCAACCAACTTCTTCATCACGAAGCATTATATTTTCTTCCAATTGTTGGCTCACGTATGGCTCGATTTGTGGATCAGTCGAACTCATATCAAATAAACCTCTTTGAGACATCTTCACCACGACTTGCCAGTCTGGTTGTAACGGGTCTGCAACATACCAAACTTGCTCTGCTTGGGATGCCAAGAGGAAAGGTTCATTGGTAATTCGATCATCTCGGTACAACAAATGATTGAAGTTCACCAATGTGAAATTGAAGACATCTTCTTTCTTTCCGTGAATGCTGTCAATCCAATCACACTTAAACAACACATGTTTCTTCTTATTGGAATATCGAATCTCAACAATATCTATCAATTGTCCATAATAGTACACAGACCCCACACGAGGATTCTTGTCTTTTCGACTAGCATAACTTATGGTATCTGCCTTCAAAGCTACACCACAATTTTGTGTGGCTCGACGATCATCCATGGCCTTCACTCGATGCCGAAACCCATTCAGTATATACCCGTTGAACCTCCTTGCCAAGTTATGAGGACCATTTGCCAATAGAATAATCTCTTCAGAAAATATGACATCAGTAGTCCTTCGCAAAGTTTGGACCTATTTAACACGAAAATGTCAAATTTAAAATGTACATCGACTTAAGTAACTAGAATCTATAGAGTTAAATACATACATGTTCCTTGAACCAAATGTGAAAAGTTTCAAAATGTTCATGCCGAAGCTGATGATCGTCGACACGAGGCATTTTGAGCTTAAGTACTTCAACATGTTTGCTGTGTAGATTGAAATTTTAGCACTACAAAAAATTTTGTTGAAAATTCAATAAAACATAATAAAATATTGAGTGAGTGACTTAACCTACTTTATGAATGGTTGAACCGCGCTTGTATTGAATAAGATGTACCGATGAGCTTGTACCCAAGAAGTATTATCAAGATAAAAGCTTGTGTTTTCACCAATAGCATGACCCAAATTATCAGCACCACTATAGTTCCTCACGGGTCGACTAGATTTGGTTTCCACATCATTGAGATATTGTGCACAAAAATTCATGCATTCTTCCATAAGATATCCTTTAGCAATTGATCCTTCAGGATGAGCTCTATTACGCACGTATTACTTCAAAGTAAGAAGATACCTCTCAATTGGATACATCCATCGAAATTGAATCGCTCCACCCAATAAGGCTTCATCAGCTAGATGTATAGGCAAGTGCTCCATTATATCAAAAAAACTCGGAGGAAATATTTTCTCTAGATGACAAAGTATTATAGCGATACGATCTTGAATATATTGTAAATCCGTCGCACGATTCACTTTCGAACACAATTGTCTAAAGAAATTGCTCAATTCAATCAAGGGTTCGATTACATTCTTTGGTAACGATCTTCGAATAGCCAATGGAATAAGTTGTTGCATCAGAATATGACTATCGTGGCTCTTAAGACCCCCAATACTTCTATCATGTGAGCGCACACGACGTGATATATTGGATGAATACCCGTCAGGAACTCTTACTTCCTTCAACACTTTCAAGAACAAATCTTTTTCATCCTTGGTCATCGTGAATTGTGCTGGTGGTAAATAGGCTTTATTCGACCCTTTTAACTGCAAATGTAGGGGTTTTCTAATATTCATATCTTATAAATCACGCCGAGCATTAACACCATCCTTTGATTTTCCTGCAACCCCTAATATTGTCCACAACACATTGTCACAAACATTCTTCTATATATGCATCACATCGAGGTTGTGTCTTATTAGATTGTGCTCCCAATATGGCAATTCATAAAAGATACTCTTTTTCTTCCAGCTATGGGTGCGATGTCCAACTTTCTCCTTCTCTACCTGTCTCCTATGCCTCTCCTTAAGGTCATCCCTCTTGTATTGGGTTAAAATACCCTCAGATTCTAATTGTAGCAATATCTCAGTTCTAGACAGCAATTTTGGTTGAGTCTGACTTCCCGACTACCATCAAATGATACTTTATCCTTCCGGAATTTATGGCTAGTAGGTAAAAATTTGCGATGACCCAAGTATGATTGTTTCCTACAACACTAATTGTCCACAGTAAAGCTGCATGCATTTGAAACATTTGATTTGTTGATGCATCAAATGTTGACACACCCTCATTCCATAGTTCTTTCAACTCCTCAATCAACGGTTGCATATACACATCAATCTTGTCACCAGGCCCTTTCGGGCCGTCAATAAGCACGGATAAAATTAGAAATGGTTGCTTCATGCACATCCATGGCGGCAAGTTGTATGGAATGAGCACAACAGGCCAAGTTCTATGAACTATGTTCATCGTCCTGAATGGGTTAAAACCATCAGATGCTAAGCCAAGCCTTACACTTCGGCAATCATTACTAAAGTCAATATTCCGATGGTCAAAATCTTTCCATGCAAGGGAGTTAGCAGGATGCCTGAAGACACCATCATCAGTTCGTTCCTCTGCATGCCATCTCATTAACTTGGCCGTCTTGGATGACATAAACAACCTCTGCAACCTTGACTTTAAAGGAAAATACCTCATCTGTTTTGCATCTATTTGTTTGCCACCTTTGTTAGGACCATTTGAACCACCATCACCATTTGATTTCCATCTAGAACTGTTGCATATGACACATTTATCAAGATTGGCGTCCTCGTTTTGAAACAACATGCAACTGTTGGGACATGCATCCCAAGTCTCATATGTGAAGCCTAAATCTGTTGTGACCTTTTGAGCTTTATAATATGAGTCCGGGAGTTTCACACCCAACGGGAACGCCTCGTTCAATAACTCAAGCAACATGTCAACAGACTTGTCTATCCACTGATTAAGCACCTTCAAATGTAGAAGTCGAACAATGAATGACAAAAATGTGAACTTCTGACAACCCGGATATAATTCACTTTATGCATCTTGAAGAAGTTTGAAATACTTTGCAGTCTCTGCATTTGGACCGAGCTGGGGTTCAGATGCATGGGGATCAGGCCCCTGTGGTTCATCACCCACAACACTTGTACCGGCATGTGGATTTCCCATAGCCCCTTGTATCATTCCAATCATATCATCCCCAATGTCTAAATTAGCTAATGTTTCATTCTCTCGATTACCATGCAGAGATACGTAAGATTCCCCATGATTAATCCAACGTTTGTATTTTTTAAAAAAACCATTCAAAATCAGATGCTCCCGTACACCCTCTCGTACAAAATAGTATCGATTCTCACACTTCCTACACGAACAACTGATCATCGAACCTTCAACCCTATTGGTGTAGGCAAACACAAGGAATTCATCAATCCCATTAATGTATTCACTCGACATCCTATTTGGCAAATCAATCCAACTCTTATCCATCATCTGTACACATCCACAAAAATATCTCATCAAATTACAAGGGGGAATGGCGGTGGTTGTAACCAACCAATTAAAACCAGTTGAGGACCCACGCCCACACCATTCTTCTCTTTTTTTAGGTCAAATTACACTTTCTCCTTTTTTATGGTTATTTTTTATTTTGATTTTTAAATTTCATTTTATTTTGACATTTCATGTTTCAAGTTTTTTTTTTTTAAAAAAATTTACTCCTAAAATTATTTTTTGTTTAAAAAAATTTACTCTTAAAATTATTTTTTGTTTAAAAAAAATTACTCCTAAAATTATTTTTTGTGAGAGACCAATCCAAACGAAAGGTACCCACAGAAAAAATACAGGACAACTTCAATCGAATTAACAAAAGCAAAGAACCCTCTGTTGCATTGAGAATTCATTAGCAACACAACAAATTATCTCCAATACAAAGAGAATAAGCATCACAACAAAATCTATCATCACATCTAAGTTGGCACGAAAGGATTTTCTAATCATATGCAGCATCAACCGGCATCGATGGTTGACAAGAATTCAACCAATAGCTATGCATACAACAAAGAACTTACAAGAGGCACCACGCCTCCCACAACCACATCAATCATTAAGCCTTGAACCAAAACAGTTATGACATGCAGAATCCTACCTACAACAGCATCCACTACTACATCCTATCATAAGAACCAATTTCTTAAGTTTACTTGCCACAATTTATTGACTAATTAAAAAACTTATTTTATAATTTAATGCACAAATTAATTGGACTCCTACATGAATTAAAGTTCTAAGAAACCTCTATCTTGGATAAGATACAAGGCTTCAATGGAGGTCAATCGCAACCTATACTACACTGGGATTTGTACTTAATTATTTTCCCTCCTTTCTATAATACTTTTGTTCAAAAATAAATAATAAAATAAACAAGAGAGAGAAAAAGGGGGAAAAAAAGAAAGAAAGAAAAGAAATCTTGATATTTTACTTGTGCGTGTGCATATTTTTCAAATATATGCACAAAATTCTAAATATGCTTTTATTTTCATCTCAATCCTAGTAATAAAACTAGTGTAAGTACTTTCATTGTAGATGAGTATGAAAACTTCCATATCGATTAATTAAACAGGATCAATATTGTGCAAGAATAAGAATAAAAATTAGAAACTAATTTAGAAAGTAGCATGACAAATTGCTCCAAAGGCCACTGTAATCCTGATCTTGTTCCATAATTGACCTTCCTTTTAGAGAAGAGAGAGAGAGAGAGAGAGAGAGAGAGAGAGCATACGCTGTAGCTGTCGTCGTCGAAGAGCCACCGCAAGCCTACTCGCCGTTCGTCGTCGCTGCACCACCGCACCACCGCACCACCGCTCCACCACTAGCCCTTCGCCGTTTATTGCTCGTTGGGGGATTTTTGGGGAAAAAATTTGGTTTCAAACAATTAAGGATTTCGATCCTATACTGATCAAGTGGCAAGATGAAAGGGAAGAGGGGGGAAATTTTTTTTTCTAGTTTTTGCGACGGTAAGTTTTAAACCGTCGCAAATGGTACAAAATTATTAATAAACCGACGCCGTTTTAGTAATTCTTTTTTCGCGACGAACATTTGCTGTCGCAAATTGTCGAGTATTTGCGACAGCACGCTTATATCGTCTAAAAAAAAATAATTTTGGCTACGGTTCAAAATGCCGTCGCTAATACTTCCGAATTTATTACCTACCCGTGCAGTTTTTTTACCGACGGTTAAACGCCGTCGTTAAAACTCCTTTTTGCGACAGTATAACCTGCCGTCGCAAAAACCCATTTTTTGCGACAGTAAACTGACCGTCGCAAATGCTTCCGTGTTTTTTACCCTCTTTTCTTGTAGTATATATAACACGCTCAACCAAAGAAAAAGGCGAAATGACTCAAATTATTATGATAAACTACACTCACATCGATTTAAAATATATATATATATAATTAATTTAATATTTTTGACATAATCACACTACTCTTTTTTAAAATTTTAATTTACGTAATAGTTATGATATTTATTTATCAGTAATTCGTTATTGTGAATAAAAAAATTATATTGTCATATCTTTTTTAACTAAAATGTATATATATATATTTTATTTTGGTATCTATCCATCATTCGTATTAGTTTTGGTCAATTTAACCTTACTAAAAAACATATCAATGCAATTATGTAAAAAATGTAGAACTAACAATAGTTTTCTTAAATCTTAGGGAATGTAAGTGTAATTTATCCTTATTTTTTTACTACCTGACGTTTTCTCTTTACTTTAGGATTCGACAAGTATCCATTTGACCTGCCAAAATTGAATGGACTGAATCAATCCATTACAGAATGGTCAGTTTCGATTGTTCGAGTGGACGAATATGGATGCATTTTTTCTAATTCATCTAAGTTCGGACGAATAGTGAATAAGAGGCCACTTGACCTAATCCGATCCTCAAGAAACTTTTACTCAAGAAAATGAATAGTAATGCATTGATAATTGTGTATTTTTATTTATTTTAAAAATGACATTTTTTTTTCTTTTTGTTAACATTCTAGAAAATGATGCTATATTTTTATACTTTGTGTATTTTGTGTATTAAAAATGACATTTTATTAACTAGTAATTATAGGTATGTCTGAACTATGAAAGTTTAGTCTTTATTTTTATTATGAAAATGAATAATAATAAATTTCAGACTCAAATAAGACCCCAAATAATAAAAATTACAAGAAAATAGTCTGAAAAAAGCCCAAACCAATAAAACACAATCACCAAACCAATTTTCATCTATCCACCAATCCGCACGACTTGTTCAATCTGCATATGCTAATTAAACGGACAAATGTGAATTGATTTTTCTCAATTCTACCTAAATTTGGACAAATAACGGATGGGAGGCCACACGACTTAACCTGATCTGTGAGCACCCTTACCTGTTTTATGTATGTTGCTCTAGTGCCCAAACAGGCTAGCCGAGACTGCTATTTCTCTCTCTCTAGTATGTGGGTTGTTCCCTGTGTGGGAAGTTAGAGCATCTTAATGGCTTAAGTTAAAATGGCTTTGTCAAAGTCATTTTTTTGGCTTGCTTTACAGTGTGAAAAAGTTATTTGTTAGCTACACCACTCCAATGGGGGAAAAAAAAATTCAATACAATAGTGATACCATATCATTGATATTACCATCTAATCATTTCTTATCTTTTACCTTCTATTTATATATATGGCAAGGTAGTTGTACCTGAAAAATAGAGTTGATTCTCCACATCATATAATTTTATTGTGTGTTGGTGATACTATGTATCACCATTACATTGAATTTTTACTCATCCAATGGTGACATTCTATTTTAACACAATCAAGTGTCAAATCTAACTAACTTTCAAAATTTTCAAATATTCAAGTAGTAGATGCATGTCTATGGTTTTATTTTGAGTAAATGCATGTTTAACAAGTTATATTTCATGGATTGAATTCATCTTCAAGCATTGTTGTTATGTTGAAATGTCTTCATGTCTCTTTCTTGAACTCTATTTGAGAAAATCATTCAAGTTGGTTGTATTTCATGGCAAAACTCTCATCTTGAAGTTAGAGAATTGTTTTTAAATCAAAAACTCTAATAGTGTTCTATTCATGATATTTGATGAATATATATGTTGACAAGTTTTGCTTAAGATTAAAAGATTATTAAATATTAAATCAGGGCTTTAATTTCTGAAACCCTAAAAAATGTACTCCTTATCATATTAGATGATTTTTCGTATAAAATTTATGTTGATTAGATCATTTTGAGATAATAATTGATTATTAATGTGTATAAAATTTGGTGAAGGTCGGTTTTAGTTAGTTTGCTTTGTATGAAAAGTAGACTTCTCAAAAAATAGTTTGATTTAGAGTTGTTTCGATATTTTCAAGGCATTTTTTAAGTTATGTTTGCTTACTGATTTTATCAATTAGGATTAACTTTATGAGGTTTGTACGAGCACAAAATAATTTTCTCGTATAATCCTCTTGATCAAGTTTACAATCTTCCAAACGTTGTTGTTTTACTACTTGAAAACATAAACATGAGCTAACCGGCGAGTGTGTGCCGGAAACCTCTCTGATGTCAGTAAATAAACAATAGACACAAAAACTCTATGTTTTTTAGAGTAAAAATTGTGATACCTGTACATAGGTCCTATACAAGCTTTTGTAGATTCCATGTGGTATAATCCTAGTAGGACTCATATTCTCCAATGTAGAATCCTCCTAGGAATCACATCTCTAAAAGATAATGCTTATCTTTTAACACCCTCCTCACTGCTTAACCAAGTAAGATGGTTCAAACCCTATACCACGGTTTGGTAACAACACAACCGAGCTAGCACAGCCTTGCCTTACACCAGACTTAACCGGGCTCACTCAGCTCGGTGTTATCTTGTGCAACACGGTCAGTCTTGAGATTACGCCCTGTAATGCTATCCTCTAGCTCGGTTCTTCTTCAACCGATACCTAGGTCAAGGGCATCCAGACCAGGCCATTGGTAGCCACCTCTGATCGAACTGACGGGATCAAGGACAAAGCTATGTAGACCATTACCCCGGCCCATAGCTCGGCCCAAATTACTCATAAATTACCGTCTCAAGGTTGATATGGTACTAAATTTTGGATAATTTTAGAATTGGTATAGGGGATTAAATAAAGAAATACATATAGAGGGATTAAATAATACCATAGGTAGTGTGGTACTAGAATAACAAGACATTTTCGGATTTTTTTTTTCCATCAAACGATCAAAAATAATTATATATTTTTTATTTTATTCTAACAGAAATCGTTTACCTCATATATTATCTATGGTATAGCTTATCCTCACAATTCTATCCATAAATTATCATGTATCAAATCTTTTGTCCCATCTAATCACATGATATAACTTATTTCTCACAATTGTATTAATAATCTCATTATATCTATTAAAACAAAGTCCAATTAGTACATATTAATGTATATTTGGGAAGAAAACAAAATTAGGTACACACCTAACATTTAATATAATGTACAAAGTGATTATCTAGAAACTAGAACCCATAACCTCAAGGTTATTAGGTCAAGATTTTACTATTGAACCATAATCTCATTATATCTATTCTCACAAAAAAAATAATGTAGCAATCAAGCATGGCCATAGATTATTTTACAAATTATTCTCATAAAATAATTTTTTTAATTGTTTTATAAAAACTAATTTGAAAATTTTCATAAGCGTTGAGAAATTGTCTATAATAGAATTAAATTTAACCAAGAGTTGGATTATTTATGGGATTTTATTTTTCTATTTGTTTTGTAGTCTTGACCCGACTAAAATTATTTAATTAATTTTCGGGCTTGGTCCGTGTAGCCATGTGGCCATAGTTGGTCTAATGAGTTGAGAGAGAGAGCTCCATGTTGCCAGGTTAAATCTTTGGACAATTGAGTAGTAGAGAGTGTTAGATTTTTATTCTTAGTAATTTCGTTTGATAAAACTCCTTTTAGTTGTAATTATATTCGATCTTTTATTTCAGTGAGGCTTCGAGTTTTAGATGCAAATCTAACCTGAATTTTTCCTTGCAGAGAGATCTTTCAAAAGTTAACTCTTTCTTGTTTGCCACTTCGCTAACTATGTCAGGGATTGAGCTGCCAGTCAGGTCATGGA